CCTATAGTAACCATCAGTTTGTTCTCTGTGATTAAAAATCTGTTTTTTGGATTGTCTCTTTTCTCTTTGCCCTTTCATTTTGTTTCTTAAATTCCACATATAAGTAAAATTATATGGTATATTTCTTTCTCTGACTATTTCACTTAGCATTATACTCTCTAGGTCCATCCATGTTGTTGCAAATAGCAAGATTTCATTCTTTTTATGGCTGAGTAATATTCCATTTCATATATCTCAGTCTCTGTCTATCTGTTTATCTACACACACACACACACACACACTCCTCATCTTCCTTATCCATTCATCTATCAATAGATACGAGCTGCTTGCGTAATTTGGCTATGGTAAATAATGCTGCAATAAACATAGGAGTGCATGTACCCCTTTGAATTCGTGTTTTTGTATTTTGGGGATAAATAACCAGTAGTGAAATCACTGAGTCATAGGGGAGTTCTGTTTTTAACTTTTTTGTGGGACCTCCATAGTGTTTTCCACAGTGGTTGCTCCCATTTGCATTCCCACCAACAGTGCATGAGAGTTCCTTCTTCTCCAGTCCTTGCCAACACCTGGTGTTTCTGGTGTTGTTGATTTTAGCCATTCTGACAGGTGTGAAGTGATATCTCATTGTGGTTTTGATTTGCATTTCCCTGATGATCAGTGATGTGGAGCATCGTTTCATGTGTCTGTTGGCCACCTGGATGTCTTCTTTGGAGAAATGTCTGTTCATGTCTTCTGCCCATTTTTTAACTGGATTGTTTATTGGGATGCTGAGTTGTATTTCTTAAATTTACTAGCCGCTTATCAGATATGTGATTTGCAAATATCTTCCCTCATTTCATAGGTTGTTTTCTAGTTTAGCTGTTTGGTTTTTTTGTTGTGCAGAAGCTTTTTATTTTGACGTCGTCCCAGTGGTTTACGTTTGTTTTTGTTTCCCTTGTCTGGAGAGACATATCTAGAAAAATGTTGCAACAGCCAATGTCAGAGAAATTACTGCCTGTGGTCTCTTCTATTTTTATGGTTTCAGGTCTCACATTTAGGTTCTTAATCCATTTTGAGTTTACTTTTGTGTATAGGTGAGAAGGTAATCCAACTTCATTCTTTTGCAAGTGGTTGTCCAGTTTTATCAACACCATTTGTTGAAGAGACTGTCTTTTGGCCACTGCATATTATTACTTTCTTTGTTGAAGAGTAATTGTCCATATAATCATGGGTTTATTTCTAGGCTGTTTCTTCTGTTCTATTGATCTATATGTCTATTCCTGTGCCAGTACCATACTCTTTTGATTATTACAGCTTTGTAGTATATCTTGATATCTGGGACTGTGATACCTCCGGTTTTGTTCTTTTTAAAGATTGCTTCAGCTATTTGGGGTCTTTTATGGTTCCATACAAATTTTAGAATTGTTTGTTCTAGTTCTTTGTAAAATGCTATTGGTATTTTGATAGAGATTGCATTAAATGTGCAGATTGCTTTGAGTAGTTCAGACATTTTAACGATATTTGTTCTTCTAATCCATGAGCAGGGATGTCTCTCCATTTAATTGTGTCATCTTCAATCTCTTTCATCAGTATTTTACAGTTTTCAGAGTATGGGTTTTTCACTTCTTTCATTAAGTTTAATCCTAGGTGTCTTATTATTTTTGGTACAATTGTAACTAGGATTGTTTTCTTAATTTCTCTTTTTGCTACCTTATTATTCGTGTACAAGAATGCAGTGGATTTCTATATGTTGATTTTGTATCATGCAGCTTTACTGAATTATTTTATCAGATCTAGTAGTTTCTTGGTGGAGTCTTTAGAATTTTTATATACAGTATCATATCATGGGCAATAGTGAAAGTTTTACAACTTCCTTAGTAAATTGAATACCTTTTATTTCTTTTTCTTGTCTGATTGCTATAGCTGGGACTTCCAATATTATGGTGAATAAAAGTGGTGAGAGTGGACTCTCTTGTCATGTTCCTAATCTTAGAGGAAAATCTTTTAGTTTGTCACTACTGAGTATTATATTACCTATGGGTTCTTCATATATAATCTCTATTACATTGAGGTAATGTTTCCTCTAAATCCACTTTTTGAGGGTTTTTTAAAATCATGAATGGATGTTTTACTTTGTCAAATCCTTTTTCTGCATCTTTTGAAATGACCATATGGTTTTTATCCTTTCTCTTGTTGATGCGATATATCAAGTTGAATGATTTATGAATAATGAACTACAATTGCATGCCAGGAATAAATCCCACTTGATTATGGTGAATGATTTTTTAAAATGTATTGCTCAATTCAGTTTGCTGATATTTTGCTTGATGGTTTTTGCATCTGTGTTCATCAGAGATATTGGCCAATAGTTCTCCTTTTTTGTTGTGTCTTTATCTGGTTTTCCCAGTTCATGCTGGACTCAGAATGAATTCAGAAGCTTTCTTTCCTCTTCTAGTTTTTGGAATAGTTTGAGAAGAGTAAGTATTAGCTTTTCTTTAAATGCTTGGTAGACTTCAACTGTGAAGCTGTCTGGTCCTGGGCTTTTGTTTGGTGAGAGGTTTTTGTTTGTTTTTTTGTTTGTTTGTTTATTGATCAATTTCATTGCTAGCAATCAGTCTGTTCAAATGTTCTGTTTCTTCCTGATTCAGTTTTGGCAGGTTTTATGTTTCTAGGAATTTATCCATTTCTTCCAGGTTGTCTAATTTGTTGGGATATAATTTTTCATAATATTCTCTTATAATCCTTTGTATTTCTGTAGTGTTACCTCTTATTTCTTCTCTTTCACTCCTGATTTTGTTTGTTTGAGTCCTCTCTCTCTCTCTCTCTCTCTCTCTCTCAATGAATCTAAAGATTTATCAGTTTTGTTGATCAGTTCTATTGTTTCTTATTTCATTTATTTCTGCTCTAATCTTTATTATTTTCTTCCTTCTACAGGGTTTGGGTTTTATTTGTTCTGCTTTTTCTAGATCCTTTAGGTGTAAGGTTAGGTTGTTTATTTGACTTTTTTCTTGCTTCTTGAGGTAGGCCTGTTTTGTATAAACTTCCCTCTTAGAACAGCTTTTGTTGCATCTCAAAAACTTTTTACCACTGTGTTTTCATTTTCATTTGTCTCCATATATTTTTAGATTTCCTCTTTGATTTCTTGGTTGACCCACTCATTGTTTAGTAGCTGGTAATTTAACTGCCATGTATTTGTTTCCATTAAGTTTTAATTTAATTTTTTTTCATTTGTAGAAGTTGTGTTTGAATCTTTCCTAATTCTGTTTGGTCTTCCTTTATTGTTCCTTGTTTCCAATGTGTGTTTTTCAGTTGCTCTTTTTTTTTTTTTCAACAGTTAAAGCATTGGCATGTTTAAAAAAACACAGCAATTGTAGTTATTTCATAATTGTGTTTGCATATGATAATTTCAGCATATGAATTCTTGTGAGTCTATTTCTGTGTCTGTTGTCTCTCATTTATAGTGCCTCTGCATACACATTATTCCTTTATATTGAAAGCTGTGAATTTTCTTTGGAGTTCTTTGTGATAATTCTTTAAGGTCTGAGGTAAAGGTATCTCCTTCTATCGAAGATTTGCATTTGTTCTTATAACCTGTACCCCTACTAGTCTCAGGTTACTCTAACAAATTAGTGGCTTGAGTTTGGGTTTTAAAAAAAAAATTTGTTTATTGTTTGAAGCACACAGGTAATATGAATTTGGCTTGAGACTGCATGAGGGACAGCTTATGCTTCCAGATTCTCTGTGATAGCATTATTTTTCTTTTCTTTTTTTGCTCAGCATTCAAGTTCTTGCAACCCCCTGCTGGTTGAAGGGATTAACAGTTATTTCTGGTTCGCCTTTTCACTGGAAGGGTAGGTAGACCTTTGGGGTCTCAGCTTCATGGAGGAGGTGTCCACAGGCTTTGGATGGCCCCTGATCTTTGTACTCTGTGATTCCTGGGACTCTGTGAGCCCAGACATCAGAAGCTCACGTTAATCTGGTCCAATAAGTACCCTCAGAGTAACAGTCAGCTGCAGTGCTCCGAGTTCCATGAACTCCTTCTTTCACTTAGTACTGTGGCCACAGAATCTCTCACTTTCTTGCCCCCTGATCGATGCATTTAGGAAGATATATTTCCCCCCAGCATTTTTACGTTTATTCCATGGGAGGGTCGATCTATCAATTGTCAGGAATGAAACTCCTATGACCTAACCTCCTATTGCATGGGCATCTTCAAAATGACTATCTAATTTTCTGCAACAGTGTAACATTGTTGCTACTATTGTAAGTATCAAAGGGAATTCAAACAAAAGCTATTTCGCCAATACGGTGTAAAAGAAATTCAGCTTCTGGCATGGTCTCTGCTGCTTCTCAAGCATTAAAAATATGCTCACAGGCTGTCTAGCCCACTCGCCTCTGTCAAGCTGGTTTCCCCAAATGCTTGGGTTGCTTTAAGAAAATGTTTTGTGTTTTGTATTGTTTTGTTTTCATTTAGGCTTTTGTTGTGGATGTCTACTTTTAAACACACTATGGATAAAGAACTTGTCCGATGGATACTTTCTCTGCTTTGGGGACTTTATTTGTGAATTTTTGAATAATTTTATAAATGCCCCAATTGATACTGGAAAACAAAAGTGGACCCTTTTGTGTGTGCATGCGTGTGTGTGTGTGCATGTGTGTGTGTGTGTGTGTGTGTGTGTTTAATCCTGGTAGTTAACCTTCGCTTGATTCTGATTGCTTGATCTGCGAAGGCACAGATGTGCATGAAGCTCTCCCTGCTGATCTCCCTGTCTCCCCAGAGACACCTCCTTCCCTCGCCATAGAACTAAAAAGTAATGCCAACTTCCTGGCCCCTGTGAGTTAGGGTCGCGGGCCAGCAGGCTTGAAATATCTTCTCTCTGATCCTGAGAAACAGTCCCACGGCTGCAGACCATGGCTGTGTTTGTAACAGTCCTGCCCTCAGACAGCTGGAAGGTAGCGGTCCCAACCTCCCTCTATGGACCTCACCTTGAATTAGGTTTCTGCCTTGTTCCCATGTGTAGGCTGAGCTGAGCGGATGCGGCATGCAGCTGTGGGAGCCAGGCTCTGAGAAGCATCTCACTTGAGGCCAAAGCCATGGCCAAAGAGATTTAGGAGAGATTTCACAGAGCCTGAGCATTGAATGAGCACCACTCAGGTAAGGGCAAACCATGCCAGCGTCACCAACTCTGGCCCCCAGAGCACAGGTCTTGGCTCCTCCTTCAGGCCCCAGAATATAACCCAAGCTCCTTCCTCATTTCTAGTAAGACCGTTGAGACAATGAGGTACTTTCCAAAGGAATTTAGCTGTGAAGCTTAAGGAAATGAAAAAACAAAATGCTGTAGACCACCAAGCTTATAGAATCTGTGTGTCTCAGCTTCTGGAAGGTTCTGCTTCACACCCTATTTGAGAGTTCCATTTATAGATGACTCCATATTATATGAGATGTGCTTCTTCCTCCTAAGCCTAACAAAAAGCCAGTGTGTACGTGGGGGGCGGGGGCAGGGAGTCAGGATCCCTGGATGCACTGCTTTCTCTCTCCCAGCCCTCACAAGCAGGGGTGTGTGGGGAAGGACAGGAGATCCCGGAAGGACAGGACGAAGGTATGAGGTTTTTCCATGCAATTGTTCTTGTTTCCTCTCTCAAACATGGGTAGGTCACCTCTTTCCAGCCCAGCCCTTTTTTTCCTTCTAGGGGCTCACAGCTAAGTGACAGAGGTGGCTATATCCAATGTTAACTTATTGCGGGATCTTAACTGTAACATCACTGGACCACCTCCCAGCTCCTGCATCCTCTGTCATCCCAAGAAACCATGGTCTGACTTCCCAAAGCACCCACACAAAGTCATTTACATTTTTATTGAAAATAAAATCTTTAATGGTGCCAGAAAGATTGAATTTACATGACAAAATGCGGCCTCTGCCACCCTATCTCCTTCCTCCCTTGCGACAGGGCCCCTGCCCATTCCAACGTCTAGGTAGTTAGCCTTCTCCCTCCACTTCTCCCACTACCCAGATCTCTGCCACAAAAGCCCTGCGCGTCTGGGGGGCAAATGAGACGAGGTCTTGGCAGGCTGCCAGAGAGGGCAGGCAGGGCAGCGGCCACCCTCAACGTCCACCATGATGCAACAAGACAAGTGCGGCCCTGGTGGCCGTCTTCCCTCTCACCACCCTTTCCTCTGTCTGTCCCCATGTGCTACTGCTCCCCAGGGTCTGTCCCAAGTCTTCTCATTTTGACTCAATTCACATCACTTCCTGGACAACCTCAAACGCTCCCCTGGCTTCCCTTGGTGCGGACATGCTGATGACTCTCAAATCCCCATTTCCCCAGGAATTCAGCTCCTAGGTGCCCAGGTTCTTCACCACGTAAACCACTTCTTGGGGGGAACCTAGAGCTTGAGAGGGACCTCTGGGCACCTACAAAGCTCTCTTTAGGACAGCAAAACCATGACTCTCTGAGTAGGTTATTGATGATGTAGCTTGGAAATCACCCTGTGTCTTGTTTGTTTTTTGGTCTCTCCTCCCTCCCCAGCAAGTTCTGGATGGGGCTAGAGAGCACAGTAAATAGCCTTTTTGGTTTTAGACCAGATTGGGCCCTCCAAAGCATTTATTTGTAAGGTTTTCGGGCCCATCAAAGGATCTGGTTGGATTCCCTAAGAGACAGACCCCTGGATTAACTGGGTCATGTGTCCCCTTACTGTGGCCATGGAGTGACATATCTTAGTTTAAGCCTAGGACTACTGCCCATCCATGAACCAATCACAGTGGCGACTGATTGAGATTATGGCCATTGGTTTAGGTCGGCCCACGGAGCCTCCTAGAGCCCAACCTAACCACAAGGCCATCCCACTGTGGAGAAAGAGAGCATAAGTGCCAAGTTAGTAAGCAGCCAATGTCCCCTGCAAAATTCCTCTTGAGCAATGGCTTGCAAACATTTTTTGTACGTGACCAATAGTGAGAAACACACTTTACGTTGTGACCCAGTACCCACCCACCCCCGCCCCCCCTGCCACGGCCTTCACGAAACTTGCACAAAATACTATTTACCCTTTGCTTGCTACTGGGAACACATGCTGAACTTTGGTAGTCCTGGCTTCTTGACCAGCTAACACCTAATTCTATCTCTGTTTTTAAAAATCCTGGTCGAAACACCCAAGATTGATTTCACAACTCGCTAGTGGGTCAAAGCCCACAGTTTGAAAAATGCTACTCTGAAGGTTCACATAAACTGCTTGCATTGTTTAAATGGTTGTTACATGTGTCATCAGTTCTCCAGAAATTTAGCAGGGCAGTGTGGATGCTCATGGAAGTTGCAGAAGTTGAGTTAATGGAGAGTACAGAGTCGTTAAGCATGTAGGGATGGTGCCTGCCACTTGAGACTCAGAAGGAAGGCCTTGAGAGTAGAGATGTTTGAATTCCAACATGCGACTCCAGCTTTAAGTAGTAACCAGTTTACGGGACTTTCCTCCTGAATAGATCAGATTTATGGCTACAAAAGACTTCTCTGAAGAGGCTGTACAGGCATGCAGTCCAGCTGGGTGCCCTGAGATGTTATGTTCCATGATTTTTGTTACCCAGAACCAATTCCAACCTCTCACCAGACTTCTTCAGTCCCATGGTGACTGGATTATAGTGAGAAGACAGATACTTTCTGGTCATGCGAGGCCAGGCTCAGCACCTGTTGAGGATAAATGGGCCATGTGTCCATTTATACAATGTTAAATGACACACACAAGTATATAACATATTTTTAAGGATATGTTAATATGATAACAAAATTCGGAAAAGTGGTTTAGCAGATACATGGCTAGCTATTTTATTATTCATTAAACTTTAAAGATGCATTGTATGCGCACGCGCACACACACACCTACTGGCATTTATGACAAAAAATAAAATAAGCCATGGATTCTCATGCTCAGTGAGCTCACAGACTCAAGTGCAGGACAGAAATAATCACGACAAATATATTACACACTGAAATCGTAAGAAATAGAAAGAAGAAATTCATTCTGGCTATTTATATGACCTTGGATAAGTCATTTTATTTCCTGAAGCCTGATGCCCTTCAGATATATATATATATTTTTTGCCCTTCAGATATATTTGCTACACAGATAGATAAACGCGCGAGCACACACACAAATAATAAGTTTATGGCAAGACTCAATTGATATGTAATGCATGAGAAAATGTCTGACGCGCTGTGAAACACTGTAGAACTTGTGAGATAATATTATCACTCTGGGCATCTTTGCAACTGCTTATTTCTTCTGCGAAACTGCTATCCCACACAGTTTTGTGCTCGAGTGGCAGTCTGAAGGAAGCAGGTTGTAAGTGACTGTAAATTATTCTCAACTGAACCTGTTTTGTGTCTAGCACAATGAGGGACAGAAGTAACGATGGCACCGGCTACCACTGAATAGCGTGTGATCCCCAGAACAGGGACCTGGAGCTTCAGACACCCCTGGGATGACAAGTCTTGGGGGAACAGGGCTTTGGATTTGTGGGCTATGGGGGGGGTGAGAAACAGGGGGAGCCTGTTTCAGTCTGTGACTCCCTCTCTCTCTGACCCTCCCCTGCTCTCACGCTGTCTCTCTCTCTCTCTCTCTCTCCTAGAAATAAATAAAAATATTTAAAAAAAGCACGGGGTAATTTGAGGAGCCTTTGATAAAGGGACTGTTTTCAAAGGGACAGCAGGGTATGGAGAAACCACAGTGGGGAATGCAGAAGCCCAAAAGCTCATGGAGACACCAATTACAGTGGGTGTTGTTACCAGCCCAGGCCTGAATGGGTGCAGGGAGGAGGAGTTATGGGCACTTGGAGAGGGAGGAGTGGATAGGGAGCTGCTTGACCCAAGTCGTGCTTTTCAAAGGAGGGATGCAGCCAGACCTTGGAGAGCCCTGACATCACACTCCTCCCACCCTGCCATCTGGAGCCAGCTGGCCTAGCCTATCTGGAAGCCAACCTACGAGGGACCCCACTGCTGTACTGCGGGTGGAGCAGGTTGCAAGGCACAGAGCCTGAGGGGGTCTGGAGCAGCACGTGACCCCCACAGCCTCACTGTGAAAAGTGGGGGGCAGGGCGATGGCTGTCAGTCTTGAGCAGCACAGCCGGACAGTCACGATGGGGAAACACCAGAGATGACAAAAACACAGTCAAACAGTCGATGCAGGGAGACCACCTTCAGGCCACAGGGATTCAGAGACTGAGAAGGCCATTGGGAGGCCAGGGCATGTCCCTGAGGGCTGCATTCAAGTGTCCTGTGTTCAAACGAGGCTGGAGGCCCATCTTTGCGGAGATAGTTTTGGCATGCAAGAATGAAATTCATTTGGCAATTTCCCTTGCAGCAGCAGGTTGAAATTTCCCATCCACTGTTTTCAAGGACATTTAGAAGCAGATGCGTAAGGAGACACTCCATGATTTACCTTCTGAAGCAGTTTTGAGTGACTTAATGGAAGGATCCTGGTGCAACAATTCAGAAGATGTCAGTGTTAGAGTTCAACTTTGCCTCAGACTCACTAAGGTCCTTTAAATCACTCTCTCCCCCTCTCTGGGCCTTGGTTTCCTTTTCTGCAGTGTGAGGGTTGGCTGTGATCTGTAAGATCTCTTCTGATTCTAGCATGCTGATTTTCTTAGAAACTATATGATCAGAAGAAGTTTTGACACATTGATCTTGGTGATGATTTTTTTGGGGGGATAGAAAACCAGAAATTCTGGCAACAAAAGCAAAAACAAGCAAGTGGAACTACATTAAATGCTAAAAAAACAAAAACAAAAACCAAAAAACTTTCACTGGGCAAAGCAAACAGTCAACACAAATGAAATGGTAACCTACAGAATAGAAGATATTTGCAAATCCTATGCCTGATAAGGGTTTAACTTCCAAAATATATAAGGAACTCATACAGCTCTACAACAACAACAAAAAAAAAAACCAAACAAAACAAAACCCTAATTTTAAAAATGGGCAAAGGACCAGAATAGACATTTCCCCAAAGATGACATATAAATGGCCAAGAGGTATATGAAAAGATGCTTGATTTCACCAATCGTTGGGGAAATGCATGTCAACACTACAATGAGATCTCACCTTATGCCTGTTGGGATGTCTATTTTCAAGAAGACAAAAGATAACTAGAATTAGAGAGGATGTGAAGAAAAGGGAACTCTTGTACAGTATTGGTAGGAATGTAAATTGGTACAGTCATTATGTAAAATAGTATGGAGGTCCCTTGGAAAATTAAAAATAGAACTACCATATGATCCAGCAATCCCTCTTCTTAGTATATATCCAAAGGAAATGAAATCAGTACCTTGGAGATCTATTCGTGTTCCCATGTTCATGGCAGCATTATTCACAATAGCCAAGATATGGAAACAACTTAAATGTCTGTCAGTGGTTGAATGGATAAAGAATTACTTGGAGTGGCTCAGTCGGTTAAGTGTCTGACTTCAGCTCAGGTCATGATCTCACAGTTTGTGGGTTCAGGCCTCGCATTGGGCACTGTGCTGACAGCTCAAACCCTGGAGCCTGCTTTGGATTCTGTGTCTTCCTCTCTCTCTGCTCCTCCCCTGCGAAGGCTCTGCTTCTCTCTCTCTCTCAAAAATAAATAAACATTTTTTTTAAATTTTGAAAAGAAATTACTATGTGTAATTTATGTATGTTATTCTCTCTCTCTCTCTCTCTCTCTCTCTCTCTCTCAATGGAATATTATCCAGCCTTAAAAACGGAGATTCGGCCATTTATAACGACATGGATGAACCCAGAAGACATTACATTAGGTGGAATAAGCCAGACACAGAAAGAAAAATACTGCATGATCTCACTCACATGTAGAATCTAAAAAAAGTAGAGTTCATAGAAGCAGAAAGTAGA